CGAGCGCCCGCGGCCGCGCCGCCCCAGCCCTGAACCCGGGCCCGCTCCCCTGGCGGGCGCGCCTAAGCCTCAGAGGCGCACCCCCCCCACCCCGTCGACCCCGGTAAGTGACATGGGGGGAGGCTCCGTGGGCTCGCTCCACCTCAGGGGGCTACCGCTGGGTGCAGGACCCTCGGGGACACTTTGCAGAGCTCGGGCCCTCCTTCCGTCGTGGCCCCCCAGCTCCTCTTCACCCGTGCACCCCGAGACCTGGGCCCGCTGGACGGCAGGCGCAGGGGTGGAGGAGCTTGCGCCTCTCTTTCCAGAAGGAAAGAGCTTTGCAGGAATGCGTGTCTGGGCATCTTCCTCTGGCCCCTGTGGGGGGCTTGGCCCCCTGGCCCCCCATGAATGGAACGTCTCGTGCCAGTGACAGCAGGCTCTGGTGGCTGCCATGGGGGTCTGTCAGTGCTAACCGTGCCTGGCCCCGTCTTTTGCTAGGTGTTTGTGGCGAATTCTGGCAGGGGGTTTCCAACAGCCCCCTTCTCTCTCTGGGCAGCTGGACTGGGCACGCTGAGGCCTAGGGAGGCCCAGACAAGGGTGGGGGCTCCGGGACTGTCTCCCCTTGGGTGAGAGAGTGAGCATCAGCTAGTCCACACCCTAGGGTAGAACCCTGCCTGTTAGAGGCACACAGAATCATTTTCCTACTGTCTTATTTTAAGGGACCAGAAATCCCAGTTGTGGGGGTATGTGGAACGCTGGACCTCGGAGTGGCCAGCCTCTCTCTGTCCTGCTGGCCCTGGTGTTGAGCTGAGGCCTTTTGTGGGGTCCCAAATGAGGCAGGGCACTGACACCACCACCCCACCCCACCCCCGCTCTTCTTAGTTGGAGCCCTGGTGGCACTTCATAGAGCCCTCTCTACATAATGTGTCCTCCACTTCCAGGGTCTGATACCAGGTGGCATCGATCCCGGAGAGGGCCCCGCACCCTGTCCACCTGTGGTCGCCTCATGTTTGGTCACAAGGAGGGATCATGAGGGTGTGGGCTGGGAGGTGTGTTCTATCTCCTAGTGGTGTAATGGTTAAGTATTAGTCTACAACCGGCAGGGTCAACTGTTCGAAACCGCTGACAGCTCCTTCTACTCCCATAACCAGTTACCATAAACGGTTACAGTCTTGGAAACTCACAGGGGCCGCCATGAGTCCTCATTGTCTCCGTGGCAGTGAGTGCGTTAGCAGGCAGGCGCACCCTGCCACTGCCCCCTGGCAGTGCTCACACTTAAGTGCCGTCCTAGGGCACATGTGTGCAGGCAGCCTGTCCTGTTCACGCTCTCCCAGC